GACCGGCAGTACCGATGAGAGCTGATTTTAATGGTAAATAAACTCAGGGAACCAACAACACAGGCCTATAGCAACAACAGAGAGTCTGACACCAAGACTGACGAAGACTATTTAAGCTGCAGCTGATTGCTAGAATGTCAGACATGTGAGTTAATGAGCTGATGAGATACACCTGGGGAGAGCAGGGACCTGCACCGCTGAGCAAAGGTGCAGAGTAAACCAAAGAACAAAAAATAATATAAGGAAAAAAGTAAATACTGAAACAGTAACCCAAGCTTGGGATTACACAGAAAAGCAAGATGCTACAAACTGACAAAAAAAACATGCAGGTTTCTGAAGTAGGAAAAAAAAATTCTGTGAGTTTTGATGTGAGATTCATATCAAAACAGAGAGTGAACAAGCTAAAAATAGCCTAGCATTCAGCAGATGTCTTCATATGAAAACATCAGTGAATATCTGATGAAGAACGCAGCTGTGTGCACGAGCTTTCTGTGGTATAAAACGAAATGCACCTTTTATTCAAAATTAGACTGCAACACTGAGAGATTGTTTAGGAAGTCATTTGAGATTTATGATTGTTTATCTTTTTGTAAAATAAGTGGCATTTCAATGCCTTTTTATCACAAGAACCACAGGAGAAGCAGTTTTTGCATTATTTGGACAAGTGAAATCTGAATTAAAAAAAAAAAAAAATTATGCAATTGTGCAACCTGAGAAATTGTTACTGTTTTTGGAAAATTAAAATTTGATTCCTAGCTTTCTACATATTCTCATGGACTTGTATTCTCTCATCAGCTGGAAACATTGCCCCACCCCTAAATTTGATCGACGCTAAATTTAACGTGAAAAAGTTCCATAGATTACTGATTATAGCCAATCTAAACATTTGAATGCGTAAGTGAATTGTTTCTTTTTAAAATAAGGAATAAAAAAGCAAAGTTTCTTCCTGTTGAAGTTTGAAATGAGAAAGAAAAAACAGGTCTTAACTTTCCATTATCCTCTGAAAACTTTAGGGGGAGGGGGAAAAAAACATAACTACAAGCTTTATCACCGAAGGAGACAACAGCTCTTATAAGCACAAACACACAAACAAGCACACGCAGTCCCAGGGATAAACTGAGTGTGCTCCCCTCATAATGCCCTGAAGTTGTTATCTTAAAGTGGCATCCTGGAGCTTGGGGGAGGGAAGCTGCGTGACTTGTGGAGCAGATTTAGAGAGTCAACAAATGTTGTGTTGCACAGCAGCACGCTCACACACAAACAGTGAGCGCAGAAACACAGGTGAACCCAAAAGACTCGGGACATAAAGTTTACTGCAACTGCTGGTACAGAGAGATGCACAAACAGTCACAGACACACATAAATATCCTCACACATAGCCACGAGTCGTACATTTTAATTACTGTGCCATAATTAAAAGATTCTCCTGAGATTATATGTTTTTATCAGTTTGGCTTTTTATCTTTTCTCCAGAAGGAAAATGACTATGAGCTAGTCGGATTAAATTCATAAATACATATATCCTTTTTAAATAAGGTTGTTTGCGTGTGTGCGTGCGTGTGTGTGTGTGTGTGTGTGTGTGTGTGTGTGTGTGTGTGTGTGTGCGTGCATGTGTGTGTGTGTTTTAACTTTCTTGTGCTTGTTTACCTCCAGTTATTCTGACAACATCCTTAAGTATGGAGGCCAAAAACTGTCAACATTAAAAAATAATACAGAAAATTTTTTTTGCAGTGTAGTAAACGATTTGCGAAAAATTCACAAAAAAGATAAAAAAAAGAAGAGGTTTAAATAATTATTGTGTTATGAAATTGAACAATATTTTTTAAAGATGTTTCTTATTATTTCCTTTATTATTTTATATTTAACACTTTTAGGTCTCTACAGTTTTCCCTCTACTTGTGCTAAATTTTTATTTCTCTAAAATTATTTGATGTTTTGTTTGTTGAAATCTTGTTCATTATTTCTATTTATTTCCACCTATTTATTCTTAGATTAATTTGGAATAATAGCGCACACCTAACGTAAAAAAAAATACAAGCATTTATTTATATGACATTGTGTAGTCATTGTTTAAAGCCCTTCATATCTCGGGGCGTATTTTGTTCCCATTTCTTTATTTCTGCATTTAATTGTAATATTGACAGGTTTGGTCCTTCATAATAAAGTACCAAGAGAGAATAAAATCCCACCTTTGGGATCACAATTATCTGCACCTTATGCCACCATTCTATTTTGTTTTGTGTTGTATATGTGTGGAGATGGAGAGACATCTTTTGTCAGATTCGAGGTGGACAAGAGAAGTAAAAAGGCTGTCCCCTGTTTTCTTTTCTCTTTAGAGCTTTCCAGGTTCCTAGAAGCATCCATAAAACCCACTCAGGTTGAACACTAGACTAGCACAATAATAGCCTCATGAGATGAAGCAGTAAGTAGAACTGAAAAGTAGAGTGGGAGAGGACAAATGTATGCACAGTTCTCTGCAGAAGTGGAAAACATTGACCTGGGTCTAAATCATTGAAGAAAAGTGGGGGGAACTTACTCAAAGGCAGAGTCTCTCGCATTCCGCCTCTGATTTTCAAGAATTTTCAAGGAGAAATGCTGCAGAGAGGTGGACATAAAGTACTTCTGCTTCCCCTGTCATAAAAAAAAAAACATTCCCCCTCCCAGAGATATTAAAAGCAAAAGAAAAACCGTGCACATTTCCAATGTTCTGTTTTGCTTTAAAATGCAAAACAGTAAGGATGCCACCCAGGGAAATTCTATCAACTTTCAATGGGATTAAGTGGAAATAAACTTGAAAAAAATTGTGATACAACAATTATTAAATGCAAATTCAAATAAATACTCAATTGTGTTCACTGTTTATCATTTTCCTTCCAGGATCCACCATCCATGTACTTTTCTAATCCAATATTTGACCCAAAACTTTTACTTTGCCTTATGTGGTTTCTGTTGCAGAATTTCTTGCTAAGCCGACAGCAGTGGATTAAAAAGAAAGGTTCATTGATGAGGACACACCTAGTTATTGTACTGAGGTATTTTGTTTTCTTTCTAGATAAGGAAGTAACTTTTATAACTGAAAATATCCATATTTCATGAATATATTTTTGAGCAAATGAGAAGGCTTTTCGTTTCAGGTTCAGTTTGGTTTGAATAGCTTTCCCATCAATCACGAAAAACAGAAAAAACATTATTTGAAAACTGCTTTTTGTAGTTACTCGGTGTCTTTTGCGCCTTTAAAATGCAATCTGAAACATGCAAGTGTGGGCCAGAGAAAAAAGGCAGAAAGATCTATAAAGGATGACAGCTTTTTCACCGAAGTGTTGTCTCATGCTTCCAAATGGTGAAAATCTTACAGTAAGAACTTTTTGAAGTTAGTGTATAACTGTGACAAAAAAATCTGTAAATTTAGGGTTGAAAATGACTGAGTCATATTGTGTTCGAGCACAAGGTACAAGTTGACCACCATGAAATAATGTCGGCAGCAATATACTTTCACAGCCATTTATTTCCCTTAATTAGGCAGATTCTGTATGTGTCCACACGGATTTGAGATCAGTTTTAACTTTTAGCTCTCTGAAGTCTGATTAATTCGCAGCTCAGAGTAAAAAAAGAAAGAGTAGAATGTATTACAGGGCAAAGTGCGAAAGACTGAGAAAAAAATATGAGTTAAACAAAAATGATCAGTGGTGAGGTAGTCATTTGAAGGAAAGAACCTTTTAGTAATGATGGTTTTAGACAGCCTATAAAGATCTTTTCTCAGCTGCAAAAGGCAGTGGTTGATATAATGGAAATTCATTTTGGCACGGCTTTTTTCTGCAAAAATAAAAGACATTTTGGTATCAACGCATGTAAAAAGAAACCATGTTATTAAACACTCGTGAGAAACCTAAAAGTGCCTATCAGATTCAGTCTTTCCATTCACAACCGCTGCCGCTCAATACATTTTGTAAAGGGTGCTGCGCCACGTCTGAGTTGGAACACAATGAGAGGCGGCGTTTTGAGAGAAAAGGACGATGCAGCGAACAAAACTGACTTGCAAAGAAGAGTGGCAGCGAAATTCAAGATCCCTCCCGCCCCTCTATTGTGGAGAAGATTCATTAAGTCATGTCCATTTTCACAAAGAACACAACACAAAGACAGCTGTGTGAGGCTGTGAGGAACAGCGCAGAATGAGGATCAGACGCTGCCTCGGTGCTGCATGATAAGAATTAGTAATATAGAAATTATTTGATCTTTTCAGTAGCATCGACAGCACATTCTGCTGGTGACCTCATCTACTAAAATAGGATTATGCTTGTTAATTGGCAGTAACAGGATATGAAATCTCACAATATTGACACGTCACAATATTTCCCATCAAAATCCGTCTCGTGAAGCAATCTCTTGGTAATTTTTTTGGTTGTTTAATCCAAGCTATTATTAAGAATCTAGGCATGAAGATAAGTGCTTTGAAATTTACCAGGAAGTAGTTCTGGAGTTGTTTTACTGATGTAGGGGAAGTTAATTCATCAAACCTTTTTTGTGGAAAAATCATTTTGCCATATCCTAAAAGGCAGATTTCTCTTTTGGCTTTTCAATATTGTATCACACACTCTCCTGGAACTAAATCCGGTTAGCCTCCTCTTACTTATACACACGTCTTTCTGATTTTCCACATTAATCACATTCATAATATGCAACGTGTCCTTTTGTTTCACAGCAGGATTGAACCTGCTGTTTGGCCACATCCTCTCTGTCTGGAGTCTGCATGTTTCCTCTTTGTTTGCATGTCAAAAGATGTGGGTGGTGGTTTATTATAAATTGGCCGTTGGTGTGAGCGTGCAAGGCTCTCTGTCTCTTTGCATTAGCCCTGTGTACCTCACCTCTCACCCGATGTCTGCTGGGACATGGTGCAGCCCTCGGGGTTCTTTGGGACTGAAGCAGATATTGCTAATGGAGAGTGACACAATAACAGGCAGAGGAGGAAGGTGCAAATTTGAAACAAAAGCTACAATCTCCTGTGAAAAGTTAATGTATTTTTAATCCCTTACTTTTTTTTCGTCCACAGTGGGAGATGCTTGCTGATTTTGCAGAGGCAACATTAGCGTAGCATTATTTAGTAATCTGGAACTCCAAGAGAGGAGGTTACAGAATAAATCAAGTCATACACACTTGAACTCTTTCTTGATCACCGTGTTCCTGTCAGGGATGTATTCTGGTTTTACTTGCTGTTTCACAAGTGTTGATGAAGTTGTTTCAGAACAGGGTTTAACTCCATGACTTTAAGAGTCTCTTGAAGACTTTGGAGAAGATTTTCCTGAACACTTATAGCCTGCACTTACAGGTAGGTATTTACTTACCCGCTCTGCTCAGTTCTCATGTTATCGTCATCCTTGGGGTTTCTGTTGCAGCTCATTCTGAAGACACAGAGTTGTGCCTCGCAAAAAAGATTATTTAATATAAGCAACATACGGTACATTTTAAATGTAATTAGTCCATGATAATCCTTTGATATCTGAAGATTTATTTTGTTTTTTTAATAAGTATAATTGTGCTTTCCCCAGGATCATGATGGAGATGACTGAATAATGATATTTCCTTCTCTAATCATTATTTTAAAGTTGTGGTGGGTGGTGAACGGAGGCAGGGCAGAAACGTCTTAAAATATTACTAACGTCTTCTGCAGCCTGCTTACATAGGCTTCTTGAAGAAGATAGACAGAATATTAGGAAAACCTTTGATAATGTTGCCTGGCAACAGGAGTGACTTTGGCTCTTCCCTAATCCAAACTCTATCCCAAAGTACATCCTTGAGATTATTTCTCATTCAGCCGTAATACTTTGTCAGTTAAAGTTGGCATGAAGGTGTTGGGATTTTCTCATTTGTATTTTCTTCCCACCAATTTCCTCTGTATAATAAATGAATGTTTTATTTATGTGAGCACATAAACCTGTCGTCTTCACATTTTATTCTAAACAAATGGAGTAAAACGATAAAACCTATCCATTACTTAAAGGTGTACCATCCACTATTTCACCTTTGCTTAGCTTTTTGTCAAACAATTTTTTTTTTTTTTTGCAGTAAAACTCAAAGCAGGGGTTGAAGGCGGTTTCTTTTCAGTTGTGTTAAGATGTGTATTGCACAACTATAATAATGGTAAACCACAGTTGTAAACTGTGAATAATTGGACCACACTTCATGGAAGACAGGCAGTTTGCAATAGCGTGAAAAATGACATAGCTGTATTTTGTCTACCTTCTTTACAGCAAACAAGATTGGAGCTTATTATGTTATAAAGGTCACCTTTTTCTCAGTTTTACACTGGCGATACATTTTGCATGAATACATTTTCTTTGAAACAACTGAAGACAGCATTTTATATAAGCTTAAATTTGTATGCAAATAACTTAGATTTTGTTTTTTTTTTACATTCATGTAGTAACTTTGAACCATTTTAGAAACAGCTGGTCATCTCAGCTAGGACATAGACAACACTGCATCTCAAAGGAAACTGTATGCATTTTAAAAGCAAATATCGATTTTTTTTTTTTTTCCTTACACACTGGGCCTTTATTTTACTACACACACGGAAGCATCATTTTTCTTCATCTCTCACGTCTCTTTGTGACCCAGAACGGCATCATAGATTTTTCCAGTGAGGCGGTGCTGGATGTTGGTGAAGCCGCTGGCAGCCAGCAGGGCAGCATACTGAGCACCTGTCCTCTCTCTGCCCTCCGTCTGCACCAGCATGTTCAGGGAGTAGAGCTGTGCCGTCAGTGGACCAGACCCGTCTTCATTTAGCAGCGCCTCCACCAGCAGCACGGCACCTCCTACATCACAAACAACAATGGGTCATGATCAGGTTTCACTTTGTGAAAGATGCAGTGCCTTTCTTCTAACACATAAATAAAGTGATACAGAGACTATATTTTAGCTCTGTTTGTGTGTCTAAGTGTTAGTCTGCCAGAAGGTGAACCACTGTCCCAATCTCAACTCCTATCTGAACCTGAAAAGATTCACGGGCACGAAGCATGTTGCTGCCACCACTACTGTATATGTTCATGCTGCTGTTTGTTCAGTAATAAAGGTTCACTAATTAATTCTGATCTAATCAACTCCATTTACTCTTTTAGGTGCGTTCTTAATCTAATTGTTTAGAAGGAGCACCGGAATAAAGGGAGGTGACTTGAAAAACAAGCCACACTTTTTAGATTTTTCTTTTTTTTTATTACAAATCAAATGTCTTTTTAATGTTTTTGATTAGTGATGTTGCTAAACTATTAATATGGGTAAATTTAAAGAATGAGATCATAATATTGACTCACAATTTACCACTGATCACTCGTATAAATCAACTGAACAATGGTGCTTGGTTGTTTTAATAGAAATTTCTCCTGCTTTTCCTTAATGCAATGTGCTGTTTAGACAAAGAATATACTTGTTCTTTTTTTATCTGCTGTCTCTCCCATCGTTTATGCACCATTCCCTTATTTTGTCTAATTTTTGCCTGCAGTCTGACTTTGATCAAAGCCAGAAGGACAGACTTTTCAGGGATCAGCTGCATTATGGGGTACAATCTGCGATCTCCTTTCTCGCAAAAGAAGAAGAGAAAAAAAAACACTCATCCCTTTCACACCCAGACACAGACACACACACACAGACACACTTACAGACCTGGTTTACAGGCCTTATAGATTCTGCAGAGGAGCTCTATGCAGCGCTCGTCTGTCCAGTCATGGAGGATTCTGGCAAGAATATAGAGATCTGCGACTGGCAGAGAGTCCTTGAAGAAATCACCTTTAGAAAGAGACACGGACACTTCATATTTATTGAAAGCCGAATGAATATATAAGATTTTCATCCATGGTGTGAGATTTCAGCATGTTATAGAAAAGCAACAACTCCAACAAGTTCTCCTTCACCTCCAGGTAACATTGCAGTGACGTTGATGCTGGTCATGTCAGAATGAGCAGAAGAGGGATGGGTGCAATATTCAGTGTGAGCAGTTTGTTACGAGGGTGATGCTGAGGACTCAAACTGGGCTGCCTTAAGTGTTTCACAGGCTTCACTTTTATCTGATTTAATTATTTTGTGTAATTATTAATTCTGTTGACAAGCCTGCATAGCACTGATGTGACTTGATTAGTGATTTACACGCTTAAATATAATTGCTGCAAATTGGTTGATGTCTGCTGTAATTGAATTATTCTAAATGCTTTTGACCCAGATTGATTACGTCAAATTTCGGCCCTCTGTCCAACATTCACTTGTAGTTGATTTCTCTTCTGCATGCAGCTTACTTGGAGAGTCGATCATTTCCTTTCGGTACTTCTGTGATGTCTAATTTTATTTAAATTCATGACGTTGCAATAAAATAAATTTAGAGGCCTCATGCAGCAGCGCCCGTCACGTGGCTGTGCGAACAGCAGGACAGGAAGGGATTGACTTTCTCCTCAGGTTTTTGAGGTTACCTGCTGCTGAGACTTTCAGCTGCTGCTGCAGTGGAGGAGCAACGAAACAAAGAAAGTGTGAGGCACAAATTGATAGTTTTGTACACAACGATTTCACTCTTAACAGAAGTCAGTCAAGAGGATAATGAGGTTAATAGCTGCCAATATCAATTATGTCTTTTTGTGTTTTAAGCTATGGTCGTACTCAATTTTTAACTTTGGGGAGTGAGGATAAGAAGTGATGGGTTATGAGTATAATGTGTAAAAGAGAGACAATAGTTTTCAGTTGCAATTACTCTTACATAAAATATATATTGCCAGGTTATTTCTAAATATATTAGCTGGAGTTTGCATACATTCTATGTAAAGTAATGACTTAAAACTAGAGGCTCCAGTGCAGTTTTCATCACTGACATTCAAAACTTTCGTTTTCCTTAGTAGTTCTGCATGCTCAGTAATGTTATTCATGATGTATTCAGTTCCCTTCAGCACAAAAGAGATCAGTGCTGCAGCTGTTTTTGTCAAGATGTTCTGCCCTTTCACAGAGTCCCTGTTTGAGTGAAAGCAAACATGCATGGTCAGACCTTTCCCCATTTTTTACATTAATAATAACACAGTACATACGATTCTAAATTATTTGTCCTGGTGTTTTATGCTAGCCGGTTTATTTCGTATTTTAATTTTCTCATTGTTGTTTATGAATGATGGATGAAGCAAAGACATGCAGAGGAGAGGCATCTTTAAACTCTCTGACCATCCTATGGGTAACTCAACACCAGAAATGAATCTAACTTTTATGACTGAAGATTTTGTCAACTTACGTAACTGAAATAGAGTCAACATCGTATTAAAGGGGAGCTAGCACTGTGGTGGTTTGACTTTCTCGTGACCAAATTTATTGACCTAAATTTATTTGGGAAATTATTAATATTATAGTTTAGGAAGAAGACATGCAGCAAAAGTCAACTGGGCCGGGACTCGAACTCTCAACAGGACCGAGGCCACCTTACGTATGTCGCACACTCTACCCAGTGCATCGCTCGAATTTTAAGGACACAAAATACATTTTTTGATGATATCCTCATTTATTAGACCCCGCCTCCACAAGCTCACTTACGGCTTGATCGCATTCCATTTGAACAGCAAAACAACGACATATGCTTCCGTCTTATAAATTAAACATTTATCTTAATTCTGTATTAATTCACTTTCACCATCCTGATGTGCGCAGGGTGCCTGATTACCTCTAATGAGGGTAAGAATGCTTATTTGCGCTACATTTAACCACAAAAGGTCAAATAAATCAGTCAACGATGAATCAATAGCAAATATAACAGGCTTCGTAGAGATTTGAAAAAGCAACATCTCTTTTGTGTGTCTGCGTTGTCACTAATACGTACGAATGTTGCACTTAGAGCAGATACTGTGATTGTCAGGAGAATGCAGAATTGTAATGATGTTACCCTCATGGAAGCTGATCCTCTGGTCAGCCTCGGTGACAAAGTGTTCCCCTGACACACGCACTACCTTGGGGAGGTCAAAGATTGTCACAGTGCATTCTGGGTAGGCCAACGTGCACTGCTTGGCTAATGCTCCACTGCAGCCTGAAGAGAAGGATAGAATTGCATTTAGTTACGGAACAGTAAACAAATAGCCTTCATTGAAAACAAAGTGGATCTTCACTATGCACAAACCTGCTCAGCTCACCATTACACAAGGGCTTGTGACGCTTTCAGGTACACCACATTGTTTATAATCTTGATTTGTATACATTTTGCTGCTTTGGGGAGGAGGTTTATGTGACATTAATACTTTAATTCCAGAGGCAGATTAACATAATGTAGAAGTACTCTATGTCACATAAGTAGATGTTTGGAGTAAATTTGTATTTTTAAGTTGATGCTAATAGCATTTAATTGTTAGCCCTTAATCTGAAATGTATAATTTTTTAATTTATTTTGACTGCCATGATAGCGTCATGCACAACAGTCCCTTCAGGGTTTGGTAGAAAACAGCAACGTAAACCTGGAAAGATATGATCAGTGAAGCAAGTTAAAACTAATTTTAAATTTAGCCAAATTACATTTCTTTGATTTTGCAAAAAGTTTGGCTGCCGGAGGAACTGGTGCACTTCATAAAATAAATATCACCACAAGGACAGAATATTATGTGGAAATAGTGAAGAAAGTTCTGAAGACATCTAAATCTAAATCTCATTAATTACACATCAACAGAAGTTTCATAATATAGCAACAACAGGTGTTTTTGTGAGATTTATAAAAATCTCCTATTGGTTAAATGCACAGCTGAACCTTGTTAGAAGCACAGTGCCAGTGGACAGTTCGTTACGTACCATGATCTCATGTGGAGAGGTTTTTGTGTTGAGAAAGTGAAAATTAAAGACATGTTTTATGCAAACATTTAGTGAAACTGATGTTGGATTGTCACAGTAATGACACAGAGATAATGTTCCATGTGACAAGGACCTTCACCGAATAGAAGCATCTTTATTCTATCCTGTTAAGTTTCCAGCTTCTATCTTTCCTGCAAAATATCACATTAGAACTACTTAGAAAAAAATCAGGTTGAATGTGTTGCCTTTATTTGTTCTTTTAAAACCTAAAGTTTACTCTTACTGGTATTATCTCTAATTCAGCAGAAGTAGCGGCATAATTATTGCTGTCAACCATTTTGTTTTATTTGGAGTTTTTAGGTTGTCCTACATGAGAACCAAAAGCAAACTAAGGTGTACTTAAGATGCCCAAGTCCAGGATGGGAAGATGAGGGAATGACTTCTCATGCAGATTATAGATGGTAAAACCTCAGAGTTGTTTATCATGATCGAGCCTGTTTTCTAAGTAGCACTTTTTAAAGAAATTCAAATTTCTTTCATTTAAATTAAAGAAATTTAATTGAAGAAGTTTATCCTTGAGTTAGATCTAATTCTGAAATATAAGTACATATACAGTCAATATAAATATAACAAAAGATAAAAAAGGAAGTAGCTGGTTCATATTAGCTCATACACCATAACCAAAACCTTCACTACAATTTGAGCACAGTTATAGAGCAGTGCACAGAATTTAAAGGAAAAATGAATAAGTATTTCACAGTAAATATATCAGCATAGTCTGATATATCTCTATCATATTCTCCTACACCAGCCATATTTTCTTCCAGGAAGTCCTCTCTGTACCACATGAGCCAGTTGTCACCCTCCAGCTGCATTAATAAGCCCAGACTGCATATCACTCTGCCACTATTTTACCAGTTGTCATTCATTGAGCCACTTAAATACTAACTTCTGCACAACAGGGGCTCTGAGGTTGAACAATCATCCTGTCAAATGCTCAGACCTTAACTCTCATTTTTCCACTTCTACATGTGGAAACCTCACTTCCTGTACAAAATATCCACGCTCCAACAGAAGTCACTATATATTCAATGTGATTTTTTATTATTTTAAATTATGATTTATGAGTGATTGTAAAGTTGCACGCTACTTGTGCTTGATATGCAAGTTCCATGAAGGTAAATCTTGGAGGTTACACAGGTGGGATTTGGAAACTGAAGTGAGCAGCACACACACACACTCACACACGCTCATAAGAGAAAACAGAAATATAATGTGAAAATGGGATTCTTTCAGTTTGATGCTTTAGCAGCATTATTTAAATTCTCCACGCCTTGCAAAGAAAGGTGAATGCAAAATAGACAATGGAAGAAAAAGTGGAAGACAACAATAGAGTCAGAGACTGGAGGGGGGGAGAAAAGAGAAAGCCAGAGTGTCGCAGTGAGACGGAATACAGCTTCAAAGGATGTCACTTTGACAAACCTATGAAACCCAGTCAGATGAGCCACTGTGTGTTTGTCTATGTGTGTGTGTGCATACACGGCGAGATTTCCTCCCAGCTATCCTCTAACATGACCTGCTTCCACCATATCAGCTCTGCCTTTTCTGCACACAGAGATGCTAGGTAGCTCTCACATCAAACAGGGGTCAGCAGAGGAGGAGAATCAAAGAGCCACGATGAAGAGAGAAATCAGACACACAGCACACTGTTCGGCTAACCCGGCCGTCTCAAAGAGTCACATCCAACACTGTCTGGTTTTCATCTTTATCTCGTAGCTAGATTTAGCCTTTGCTCATATGCTGGGTTGAACTTTTCCTGATTTAGTTACATCTAAATATTTGTATTTGCTTTATTGGTTTTATAATAATTCCCCTACCAGAGCTGAGGATCTCATCAATTCCTCTGGAGGTACTGTGGGTATCTTGTTCTGATTATTGCTTTTCTTTGCCTGGCCTCTGAGTTTAGGTGGATGGACATGTTTTGGTCGGTTTGCTGTTGTGCAATACGCTTAGAGTATCATTTTACAACCTGACTCTGATTTAAACTGCTCCAGAAATCATCCCTGACTCTTCTGCCTGGTGTGTTCTTCCTGATGTTTTTTGTTCAAAGATTACACTACACACAGTAGGTCTTCTGAAGGAAATCTGGCATACTGCATTTTGAGGTACACAATATTGGTCCATCACATAAAACCCATCATAAAGCATACCCAAATTTGTGCAATGCGACACAATTGTGAATAGTGTCAAGGGATGTAAATATTTTTATTTTAGTCACAGTATCTTGGAAAATGTATTGAAAATGTGCCAAGGAATCAATCCAGACTTATTATGTTGTGACTCACAAGTGCACTTCACTGATTTCTCTGCAGAGAGGCCATGAGAAATAAATTCAAACAGAAAAAAAAATAATAATCCTTTCAACCTTGGGCACATCTCAATGCATGATCATTCCACCATGGATGTATGGATGCCATATTCACCGCAGAGAGTCAATCATCAGCCGGGTCTAGCAGACAAAGAGACGAGTCTTGAGCAGCAGGTGCGCACAGATTCAACAGATGCTGTGTGAGAGACGCGATTGCCTATATGGGACACTGCAGTGCTGCCCTTCACCCTCCTGATGCTCACACTTTTTGGATATGCAGCTTCATGCATAAGCATGAACAGACAACCTCGTGTGAAGAAAGTCACACAGGAGCCGGAAAAGACCAGGATCGATGCGAGGTGCCTTTTGTGGCTCCACAGCTCCCCTGTGTGGTCAGCTGAGGAAGCACATGCTACACGTGGCCCACCTGTGGACAATTTCAGACTCCAGAAATGGCGTGAGCGGGAGGTGAGACGTCTTCATCACAAAGGGACTCTTGTGTGGATTGTTATTCGTGTTAATGCTGAAACAAAGGCCATCTTTGAGTAAGTGAACAAAGCTGCAGATTAAACATTCACAACTGGAGACATTTGTTCTGAAATACCTATTTTACACGTTTTATGATCCTGTCTGAACATGACTGGAGCCAATGTTCATCTGTTAAATTCACTTGAAATAAAAAAAAAAAATGGAATAAAAAGTAAAAAGAAAAGCCCATTATCTTTTTCACAAAGGCTATTCTCGGTTTCATAACGTCCTTCATTCTTCAACTGTGCCTCTGCAGTTCATTAGAAGCTCTTGCCTCCATCATTTATGTCATGTCTGTTTAATCTTTGGTCTCCCAGCACTTTTTCGTCTTTGTGCCATTTGCTTGTCATGTAAAGCAACTCTTCAAAGATGCTTTTAGAGATAAATCTGACTTGACAAAGGAGCAGAGACAAGTGAACAAAGCCCTCCATTTTACTTAACAATCAAGTTTCATTTCACTAAGAGCTGTGGTTCATGTAATTGGTTCAAAGTTCTCCTCTGATAATGAAGGAAGAAAATCTGATGCTGTATCTGAATAAACTATCAATGAACAATGTGAAGTGTAATTGATTTGATCATTTTCTGGGGAGAATAGAAAATGCAATAATTTTCCTCAAGGTTTTATTCTTGAAGAAAATTCAAGAATATGTTAAATCTGAGGATTTAACACATTCAAAAGCCAGCAAATCTTTAAATACTGAACTATAAAATATAAATAAAACAGAACCGACCTTTCTATTGTTCTCAATGTAGGGCATTTTAAAACAACTTCTCCATAGCTTTTGAGTCTCAGCCACACAAAAAAATAGGAAGTACTTCCATATATAGACGATGACATCACATCTGTGTTAGCCCCATTGGCAAGCTCGTTACTTTCTCTGGCTTTAGACAGATACTGGATTGTTTTCTCAATTTTCTTTTCAACAACAATATGGTAAATGGATATATGGTGGCTTGCCAGCAACAGCAGTGAGCAAATGAGGTTTGTGAGCATAATGTGCATTGTGTAAAAATAGCTTCTTTTGCAGCAGGTTTTATTTTTTATACGTCGAGGAGTTTTAGCCAAGATCTCTCTGAAAGCTACCAGAATATTTTTGTTTTTGAATTGCAGTTTCTTTCACAAGCATCCCTGTTTTTGAGCTTGAGCGTTTTCTATGACTTCCTTTACATCAGGTGGACATTGTATTGTCTTATGGTCACTTTTTGTCAACTCTCACTTGTTTGTTGCCTTGTGCTTCCTTTGTTCTTACTATTAAAATGCATTCCTGGTATAAAGTTTGCCCAGGAGTTTTGTCAGGTTGCAGAAACATTTGAATTGCAGCTCTAAAAGGAGAACACTGGAACTAATTTATATTTTGCCTTAACAAGTGATCCTCACCAACTAAATAATTTAGTTATAATGCTTAATATTGATGAAACTTTTGGGTTCATTTGGTAGCAAACTTCTTGCATGTTAAAACCACTGGATGCATAGTGAGTTGACTTTAATTTCTGCTAACAAAAAACAAGCAATGGTAATTTCAGGTCTGGTTTGGGTTGCAAAAAACTTTTCACTAATTTTAAAAAATATTTGAAATAGAATGCAGTTTCAGAAGCTTAAATACTTCATGCTACTTACACTATTCACTGGCTTCTGAATACCAGCCAATCCAGGAGACCCATTCATTTTCCTTGGCGCTGATTGGCTTTACCCCCTAACAGTGGTCTCTTGTATTTGCAAATTTCAGCTGGTTGTGGATCTGTGATGGTTCCTAAACCTTGTGAAAACCTCTGTACAGGAAAGGTGGGAATGAACTCATTTAATATTCAAATACAAATCAGTGTTCCCATTCAACTATTGCATATAAACTTAAGCTTCCTCTGAGATATTTTGAGGTATTGGAAAACCTTGCTAAAAGCTGTTTCTCCTTTACCAGGCTACTCATTCAGCAGAAACAAAACACTTTCTTTTATCTTGGTGTTTACCTTTTTGTTTAAAAAAAATATGCTGCATTATTTGTGGAAAGAAAGTTCTTTTCTATCACAAAAAGCTGTAATTATAACAAGTATGTACAGACCATTAAGTTATTTAGACCAGTTTTCTGACAATTGTGGAAAAAATTGGAATTCAATTTTTGTTCCTAATAGACACAAATCTATTACCAAGCTTTTGTTTCTCTTCTGCAAAACATAAAATATTCCGTGTTCAAAGAGAGTGCAACAGAGAACTTTCACACAATAGAGTACCTTTAAACTTATCTATATCCTAATAAGGTTGATATTGTCGCCATCATAGCATCTTCAGTTCATTTATCAAATCCAGCCTTCAGAATCATTATTTTTCCAGTTACAAGCTGATGTGGTTGGAAATTTCTCCAGAGATTAAACAGATTGTGTTTACAGCTTGGAGTGTACAAGAAGTTCGTTCCCAGTGGTTTATTCTTAGATGGCAAAACTGGCAGTAGCATCCACAGACATATGTGGGAATAGTTTGTTTCAACAGGAAAAGCCAGGAAAACTTACCTCCCAGGTCACAGATGACCTTAAAAGGCGTAAGATCGAAGGCCGTGACCACATCTCTGCCGCAGATGTTCCAGATGGAGTTCATCAAGTGCATGAATTTCACCATTTCCTCATCAGACCTGAACAGACAACCACAAAGAGAGAAAAGTTATTTTTATTAGTCCTTTTTTTCACTCATGTCTCCCTTCATGGAAGCGTAAGCCTCTTTATCATCTTCTCTAAACTGTCACCCAAGGGCTGAAGTGCAAACAGACACACATTCCTCATTTAGAAAGTTTCTCCCAGCGGCCGCTCTGGTGTGTGTGTGTGTGTGTGTGTGTGTGTGTCTGTGTGAGGCAGACAGGGAGCGGCAGAACAGAAGAGCCTGTGGTGAGTGCTGCTGCTCTGAGAAATCTCCACCTCATCAAGCAGCACCACAATGAGGCCCACACACACACACACACACACACACTCACTCACATACACATCCTCTTTCTTCTGTGATGCTGCTTTCCACTCATCCAAACTTCTCTTGCAAAGTACTCATCCATCTAATACTCAAAGCAACTTTGTATGACACAATGACATCCAGAAGAAGTTGGGCCATTGTTGGCCTCAGACTCTGACTGCAGATGATTTGAAAAGACAAAAAAAAAAAAAAAAAGACTCTGAGGCCAAACAGAAGACTGTCATCTATAATCTGAAAGCGTCAAGGGCAAAAGATCCTATAAGCCCTGCAACGACAATTTCATTTTTTTTTTTTTTTTTGCGGCGGAGAGGTGGGAGAATAATGCAGTACAGTAAAAAAAAATAACTAAAAATTTGCCCTCTACGACATCCAATCTAAGTTTTAGTGAGATAGCCTTGTTACCTGATAATTCTTTGCATATTATGTCTTATTATAATTTGTAGCTGATTGATTCTGTTTACACTTTTCGATATCCTTTCACTCATTCATTGGGAAAATAAAAGCATGTTGCATTTTGTCAGGGTAAGGGTTAGGGGGTAGGGTTGGTCACATGAGCAGTGGCTCACATGAGTAGGTCACAGAGTAGCCAAAGAGAAGGTTGAAAACCTACAAATAGATAGGAGAAATATTAATTACAGATCACAATGAGTTCATTTTAACTTTAACTAATTAATAAAGTGATGATAAGCTATTTTAGTGTAGAGGTTGATAAAATGTATTTTTTTATTTGATTATTTTCAATGTTGAATTACACTAAAACTGAAATTTATTCATTTCAACCCACATATTATTTATTTAGTACTCTATGATGTGTTTTTTGTTTTTTCATCTACAGATGAGGAGAAGGTTATCTGTACCACCTTTTCAGATCAATATTCCTCTGCAGATGAATCCTCATGAGTTAAAAATTAGGAAAA